GTCATTCACCTGGAAAACCATCCACAAAATTCCCAGCCAAATGTTTCCTCCTCCTGGAAGCCCTCTGGTTGCCCCAGCCTGAAGGATGCTCCGTGTTCCCTTCCTGGCTGCAGGGGCGAGGCTAATGCTGGACCCTGGTTTAGGCCCCCCAGGATGTCTGTGAACTTTCTTTTCCTCCATGACCACTGGTCCTGACCCCTCATCCTCTGAAGCAAACTTACCCTGGTTCCAGAAGCTTTTGTGCCAGCGAAGAGGGAGATGGGAAATCAGAAAATGTAGGTGCTCCAGGGATCTGGTCCCTGAGGTGTGAACCAGAGCCCTCCAGATACCCTAGGCATGTTCACAGTGATGGCCTGGTCTGTGTCAACTTCATGTCCCTAACTCCCCCACCCCCCATGGCTGGCATAGGGCAGGCCCAGATGTCCAGCAATTCATCTCCAGAACTCTCAACAGATCCTCATCTCCTATCTCTGGCTTTTATAAACACTCGACCCACACCCACAGCCAGGCCTAGACAGGGCCACACACAGATATGTACACAGGCCCCTGTGGACACACACATGCACACACACAGCTAAAAATGCACGTGGACGCACATGGTCATTTATGCATGAGGAAAGGTGCCTCTGATTAAGGAGACAGCTTTTGGTATGAACCTTTCTTCCCCTGTTGACTGTGTAGTACAGTTTTCAAAGCCTGAAACATCTGCAACTTGTTAAATTCTTAACAAAGTTCCTGGAGGGCATCCTCCAACCAAAACCTCCAGGTGGGGCCGGGCGTGGTGGCTCACGCCTGGAATCCTAGCACTCTGGGAGGCCAAGGCGGGCGGATTGTTTGAGCTCAGGAGTTCGAGACCAGCCCGAGCAAGAGTGAGACCCCATCTCTACTAAAAATAGAAAGAAATTAATCGGACAACTAAAAATATATAGAAAAAATTAGCCGGGCATGGTGGCACATGTAGTCCCAGCTACTCGGGAGGCTGAGGCAGAAGGATCGCTTGAGCCCAGGAGTTTGAGGTTGCTGTGAGCTAGGCTAATGCCACAGCACTCACCCTAGCCCGGGCAACAGAGTGAGACTCTGTCTCAAAAAACAAAAAAACAAACAAAAAAAACCTCTCCAGGTGACTGATGAAGAAACTGAGACTCTGAGGGGTGAGGGAAGAGAGCTGTCTAGGTCACCTGACTGGTCAGATTCTGTGTCTGCAGGAGGGCTTTGTTCCCAGCAGCCTTATCCCCACCACTCTGGCCCTTTCCCCAGAGAAGGGTCTGGGTCTCCATCCCACCCCCTGCATCCTCAGTATGACCCTCTGCTGTCCTAACCCCTCAAATGCTGCTGAGGGCAGCTCAGGGACACCAGGGGGTGAACCCAGAGTGCCTAGGAGATGGGTCAAAAGGTAGATTTTCTCAAAGTCCATCTGGACAGCTGGTTGGAGGTGCCCAAGGAGGGCAGTTTGTATTTATAGGCTCTTTGCCATGTCACCTGTCTGGAGACAGGGGGTAACTGTGTTGGCACAGGAGCATCTGGGGATGCTCATGATAGGGTACCCATCTGCTCTCCACTCCCCATTCCAGTCCAGAGCTGGACCCCACCCTTGAAGCCTAGAAGCAGGAAGAGTGTTCCACAGTGGCCTGAGAGTGGAGGCATACTCTGGAAAGAGGAGTCCAGTGTGGAGGGACTCAGTGGGTTCCTGTGCCCTTGCTCCCTGCTCCCCTGTGGCCTGCTTCACCTGTCCTGCTCATCCCCATGGGGTTTGAATCCCAGCTCAACACTCAGTGGCTGAGTGACCTTAGCAGGTGACTTCTCTCCAAACCTCAGCTTTGTCATCTATAAAATGGAGAAAATACACCCACTTCTAGGGGTTGTTTTAGAAATTGGGACAAAATGCTTTCCAAACTTGAAAATGTCTGCATGTCTGTTTTGCAATGCCCCTCCCCCATCCCACTCCAATGATCTGGAAGAGGTTAGCGGGGTGGGGAGGTTGGGGGTACTCTAGAGTGAGTAGCTTTCTAGGTCTCCACCCCTACCTCTGACTCATGGACAGCAAGGAAGGACCATGTCTCCTTTGCTGTTTCAGGCTGTTCCCATTCAGGCAGAAAGAGTTTGGGGTCAGGAAATGAAAGGTGTGGCACCCCCACTCCTTAAGGGCCCCAGCCAGCCCCTCTGGTAGAGCAGGCTGGGACTTGCATCTTTAGCCCTTCCCTTGCCTGGGAACCCACTCCCCCAGCTCTGACCTTAAAGAAGTCATGGCCTCCCACGGGGTGGATGGGCTGTTCAGGCCCCTCAGCTCCCCCGCCCAGGTGAGACACAGACCTTGCTCAAGATGCCCTGGCACGAGGTGGGACCTCCTCACCTGCCTCCTCCCAGAGCGCGCAGGAGGCCTGGCTCCCAGCCTGCACTCAGCCCTGGCTTCCTTCCCAAAGCACAAGAGGAAGCCCAGAGGGTTCTGGATAAGCTGTGACTCAGAGGGTAAGGGTCTCACCAAGCTCAGTCGCTTCTCTGAAGCCATGCTTTCTTCTGCCATCTGCTCTAAGTGGCACCAATCACACTGACTACAATGAGAATGATGCCCCTGAGTTGCACAATGAGGCAGTCAGCTTCTGTCCCCCACACTCAGGCCAGCCTGGCACATCTGCACAGACATCCTCAGACCTTGACCCCTCTCCAACCCAGGTGACCCAAGGAGTGCTGACAGGAATAAGGGGCCCTTGGAAGGCATTGCATCCTTCCCCCTCCTCCAGGCAGGATCCTCTCACATCCACTAAGTAGCATGAACACCTACCTATATCTTCTCAGCTCCAACCCTAACCATTGCAATGTACAAACGTGTGTACACACCAGTTATGAATACGAATGAGTTTGATGGGAGTACATGGGGTCAGGTGTGAAGGTTGGGTCCTGAGAAGGCAAGGGGAACAAGGGCATTGACATCCAGCCCTTGTTCCACTACCCAAACCATGTGCCTTGTTGGGGGGCTGCATTGACTGGAAGGAGTCACAAAGATGCTCCACGGTGAGCCGCAGCTCCAGGATTATAGATAGGCACATACATACATGCACAAATGGGTGAGTGCATGTAGCTGCACATGTGTAAATAAATGTTGCTTAATATAAACAAGACATAAAAATACACAGTTGTGTGTGTGACCCTCTCGTCCCTGGTGCAACCCACGTGAACACTTACATGAGCTGAGCACAAACAGATGTGTGTGCAGGGGCCTTGCTTATACCTGCTGGCAGTAGAGCTGCCCCTGTTTTTCTCCCCTGCTCTGGTTCCCAGGCCAAATTTGGCTGCCAGCAGATTCAGGATGGGGGAATGTGGGCTGGGATTCCTCATTTTCTTTCAGTGTTGTGAAGTCCCTTGCCAGTTCCCACCCCATACTGCCTTTGCAGCTCCACAGGAGGCAATGAGGGGCCTGAGAAGCACACTGTAGGGTGGAGAGAAGAGAGAGCAGCATGGCTAGGGGTGCTCCTCTCTCCCACAGCCTTCAGTCTATGCTCTGGCACCAGGAGTCTATGGTTCTGTCTTGAGTCACAGGCGGGCAGTGAGGCCAGTGGGCAGGTACTCAGTGATGGCTCCCTGATTCACCATGGGGCCTCCCAGCCCATGGAGGCCTTGGGGGTAGGGTGCGTCACTCTGGGCCAAGGGCCACGAGAGGCCTCGTGTGTGGGTTCTATGTATGTGTGAGCCCATGGCCAGGCTCTCATGTGAATGGGATCCCATGAGCTCAGTGTCTGTAGGTGAGTGTGTAACTGCAAGCTGTAGGGTATGTGTGTGTGGCGGGGGACATATCGGCACATGTGTGAATCTGCCCTATGCGATTGCTAAACCTCACCTCTTTGGGCATGAACCACCTCCGGGACTAGGAAGCCCTTATTTCTGACAGCCATTCTTCAAGGGACAAGTCTCCAGTGTCCTTAGAACACCTGGATTAAGTCCCTCTGGAAAATGTATTTTCTTCGATCTCCTCTAGCAATGCTGCCATAGAGACTTGGGGTGACGGCATTCCCAGTCCCGTGGGAGCAGGGCCCAGGCCACCAGATCTCACTTTCCTTATTATTAAATGCAGCATGAAGAGCGTGACCCATGATACCCCTCAGACGGGGCTGACTCCCCCATAATTTAGCTAGCTTAATTTTTTAAAGAAACAGACTCTTCCTTGGCCAAGGATTAGCCAGATGAGAGAGGAGAGGGTTAAAAACAGCTGGGACTCACCCTCCTGGCAAGCATGTGGCATGTGGCATGTCAGGACAACTGCAGATCAGCCTCTGGAGCCATGTGAGCAACGCACGCAGGTACACGTGTGACAAGCTCAGTTGACCTAACCATGTTCAACAGACGTGCACAGGCATGAGGAATGCCCAGCCATTTGGTCAGGCACACAGGATATACACCATGTGTGGACACAGCTGTGGACAAAGCTGGCCAGGACATGCACCATGTGACATGCATTCACAGCACAAGAAGGGCCCACGAAGTCTGGCTGAAACTCAGCCCGTGTGTTCTGTGGGCCCGCCTGGGTCTGGATTGTGAGGTCTCGTCTCACCTGGGGCCCACAGCCTCCTCCCTCCAGTCCCCTGACTGGAGACCTGCTGGGTGCAGTCATCCTGGAGAGCTGGGGCCAGTGCCCTTCTGACAGGTCTCCTCCCGCCCCCGCCGTGGTGGGATGACCACAGGGCTCACTGCGAGTGGGCAGCTCCATTCTCCCCAGCCACGGCCCAGTACACTGCCTATACCACCCCCCACATCGGCGCTCAGATCCCCGTAATCCTCTCTTGCCCCCCCTAATCCTCTCTCTGCCCCCTTCACCTAAGTGCCCTCTGAGAGCCACCCCACCCTCAAAGCTCCTCACACTCCACGTCCCTCGACCTTCCTTACCAGCTCCCCCGCGTCTCCACCAGCCGCCCCCGGCCAGGTGGGGGGCGGCTGTCCCCTCCCCCGCCCTGAGCGGGCTAAGCGGGCGGGGCGGACTGCGCGGCGGGCGGGGCAGTCTCTCCGCGCTCCTATAAAGGGCGCCACCAGCGCTCGGGGCCACAGCTCTCCTCGCCCGCCGCCCCTGCCTGCCACACAGCGCCGCCGCCTGCCCCCGCCATGGGTCGACAGAAGGAGCTGGTGTCCCGCTGCGGGGAGATGCTCCACATCCGCTACCGGCTGCTCCGCCAGGCGCTGGCTGAGTGCCTGGGGACCCTCATCCTGGTGGTAAGTGCAGGGAGCCCGGGAAGCCCTTCTCCCTCCAGCCCCACACTCCCCAATCCCTCTGTTCGCCCCAGGGGCTGTGATTTTCAAGACAGCCTTGACCCACCTCCCCAGCTCTGACTCCAGGCTTAATCTCGGAGGGTCAAGCTGACCCCCAAAGCCCTCTTCCCCATAGTTCTAACTCCATCTCTGACAGTTCTGACTCTTGCCGGAATGACAGCTGTTACTCCCCTGTGACACCTGTGATCCTTTACCTTCCCACCAGTGACCCCCACAGGCTGGGGGCTGTGGTCACCCTTGCAGTCTGGGACTGCCAGCCCCTCTCCTGCCTCCCCCACTCCCCGGGGTTCCTAGAGTCCCAGCCCTGGGAGGCAAGGAGGGGGCAGAGGCAAATGGGCCCCATTGGATTATTTGGGTCCTGGGTGTCTGGTTCCTAATGAATAATTAAGCCTCAGAAAGTCCAAAAGTTGCAGTGAAGTGAGGACAGTTTGCCACAGGTGGGGGCAGAGGGCGGAGGCCAGAGGGGGCTGCAAACAGCAAAGGGTGGGGTGGAGGAGGAAGCGCCTGAAGATAGGAGGCTATGGGAGGAAGCGGGGCCGAACCCAGAGGACGTGGGGTGTCTAAAGTCTCTCTCCTGGTGCTGAGCGACTCCCAGACCCTGGCAGATGCTGTCAGACAGATGCCGTCAGTGGCTGTGCAGAAGATTGCCAGCACTCTGAGTTACTCTGTGGGTTCTCTGAGTGAGATATTTCCCCTGCTTGGGTTACTTCTCAGTCCCAGCTACTCTTCGGTTACACCAGTTTTACCCCAGTTTGTTCCTGGGCGACTCTGTTTGCACTTCTTGGGTCTGACAGACACGCCAGTTATGTTCTTCATTTCCTGTCCCAGTTACTCTCTCATTTTCAGCCGCTCATGTGGTTACACCTGTTTTCCTCTGGGTCACTTCTGGGTTCAGTCGCTCCATTGCAATGGGTGGGTAACTCCCTTCCTGCCCTAGCCCCAGCCCCAGGTAATACAGACCAGCTGGTCCCCTGTGGATAGGAAGCTTAAGGGGGCAAGTAGGGCTGGGGAAGCCCACCCCAAATGAGTGGTGGTGGAGGAGCAGACTCTGTGGGGAGAGGAAGGCTGAGACTCACCTCTAGCTTCCAACAATAGGAAGGGGGAAGCCACGTGGGGCATTTTATCCACAGCCCCTCATAAGACTAGTGGCTCTACCAGTCGTCGCCACTCTCCCATGCCGAGAAGGGAATGAGAGGCAGCATTTGTCACCCTCCTGCCTTGGAGCCCCCACTCTCTACCTGATTCTCGAGAGCAGCCAGGACAGGGGAGGGTGCCCTCCATTTTCATAGGAGGGGCTCCTTATTCCCTCCCAAGTCTCAGTTCACCTCCCTGCACAAAGGAGCAGTCAGTCCTCACACTGAGCCTCAGGACCGTTTGGCTTATCCCAGACCACAAAAGGAGGGTGTCACGGTTGTGGAGAAGGCTTTCAGGCGCAGGTGCATGTGAGGCACTGCGTATCAGTGAAAGGGAGAACCTCAAGGACTGCCCGAACAGGAGGGGCAGGCCTGGGGGACCCCTGAGTGGCAGGTGAAGGCCACCTGCATACCTCTGTGGGCTGGTGACCTAGAGCCTGAAGTCGGAGGGTTGGCTTTGGGGTGAAGAAAGCCCCTTTCTTTGGGGTACCTAGTAGGGTGGAGCGGGGCTGGCCAAGAACACTGGGCAGGGGGGTGGGGGAGGAAGAGGAAGATTAGCCCCAAGGTGGTGGAACTGGCTCTGACAGCTCCTCCCACCAAGGCGGCCTGGGATGGAGCCAGGTCTGGGCCTCAGGCAGGCAAGGAGCTGAGGCCACGGCCTGGCAAGCCGGGCAGGGTGCCCCAGACCCCCACGTGCCTGCCTCCCACCACCCCTCCTCACACTTGCAATCTCTGATCTTTGCTCTCACCTGCCTGCATCACTGCCGCTGGCTTCCCCACTATCTCTTGGTCTTTCTGAGTGATGATAATCAAAATGCCTAACAGCCTGCTACAGCAGGCACTGACCCATCTGAGTGAACGGGGCCCTTAGCACAGGTCGCGGAAACTACCTGCTGTGTCGGCATAAAACCTTTAGTTACAGGCAGGTGGGAGAGGACACTGGGGCAGGGGCTGGAGCAGCTTTGGGGGACACTCCGGGGGGCCTCAGGGCAACAGCTCTTTACAGCCCCTGCAGAGCGTTCTCACGTGTGAACAAGGTGGGCAGACACACAGTATGTCCTGTACCTGCGGAACACCAGGGACCTTAGTCCCCTTCAGTCCCCCCATCCCTAGCAGAAAATTTAGAACCAATCCCCTTCCACTGCCCTGGGTCCCAGACTGGGGCAGTGAGAGGAGTCACTCAGATCCCTGTCTTTAGGGTCTCCAAATCCTAGTGGGGAAGCTGGACCCACGACAGCAGAGAGGGCAGGCGGGTGGCGCAGTGAGGGTGCTGAGAGGGGGACATGGCTCTGACGTCCTGGATTCAGAAGTGGACTCACCTCACTTCTGGCCTCCTCCCTATTGTGCTTCCTGTCACCGCCATCACCACCACCTGAGCTCTTCTTGGGATAGCTGGGGGATGAGTGAAAGCCTTCTTTCCTTTAGGGGCCAGGCCTGAAGGGCTGTGGAGAAACTATGTAAAGTGGCGAAAGCTGTTCCCTACACCCTACTCCTGGGATTCAAGGAAAATCAGTGAAGATGGTTCAACCATCTCTGGGCTTCTTGTCACAGATCCTGCTTCCAGGCCCTTCCACAGGGCCCTCTTATATTAGAGTTGGGACATTGGGTGCAGGAGGGTATGTCTCTCTTTTCTGGGGAGTGCAACTGCAGCAGAAGGGGTGTGGACCTCCAGTCCTCCCAGTGGTGGCAGGCAGAGGTTGCCCTTCTTGGCTTCACCCCTTCCTTCTGGAGAGAGTTGCTGGTCCTCACCCTCCCTTCCCTGTTCTGTTTCCTGACACAGATGTTTGGTTGTGGCTCCGTGGCCCAGGTTGTGCTCAGCCGGGGCACCCATGGTGGTTTCCTCACCATCAATCTGGCCTTTGGCTTTGCTGTCACCTTGGGCATCCTCATTGCTGGCCAGGTCTCTGGTAAGGCCTTAATCCCGCCCTCAGTCCTGGCCCCTCAACAGCGAAGTTCCCGCCAGGTATCCCACTGGGGAACGGGGTGGCGGGGCATTCCCCAGGGCAGGTCATAGCTGTGCCCTCAGCATTGGGCCCTTGGGAGAGGAGAGTGGAGAAGGAATTTGACACTTAGAACCTTTGACTCTCACCTCAGAATCAGAGATTATCAGAGATGGCCTGTTACACAGTCCAACCACTATCCTGTACATGAAACTCTTCTCTGTACCCTTCTCGCCAGGGTCAGAGAGGGGCAATATGTGGGGGCCCAGGCCTCCCCACTGTGGCAGGCTGTAGCTAATAGGTCCTGTCTCCCCTCTGCCCAGGGGCCCACTTGAACCCTGCTGTGACCTTCGCCATGTGCTTCCTGGCGCGTGAACCTTGGATCAAGCTGCCCGTCTACACCCTGGCTCAGACGCTGGGAGCCTTCTTGGGTGCTGGGATCATTTTTGGGCTGTATTATGGTAAGCATTCCCTACCCTACCCTCCTGCACTGCCCCCCTGCCTCTGCTCGGGACCTGCTGGCACCAGGCCTTTTGTGACAGGCAGTTGGGGCCTGCCCAGGCCCTGGGCTCATGACTCACTCATTCACGCACAGGCCCAAGGTGGGGGGCACGAGAGGAAAGAAACAAGTTGGGCAACAAGAGTCTCAGGCCCTCTGCCCCACCCTGCTCCACCCCATTTGCCTCCAGAATAATACAGCAGTGAAGATATTCACCTGTAACCCCTGGGAGGGTGGAGAGGGCTCAGACTGAGAGGGGAGGCTGGACTCAGGGCTCTGCCTCCACCCACTCTGGGTCCAATCTGTTACCAGATGCAATCTGGAGCTTCGCCAACAATGAGCTTATAGTCTCAGGCCCCAATGGCACAGCCGGCATCTTTGCCACCTACCCCTCTGGACACTTGGACATGGTCAATGGCTTCTTCGACCAGGTATGGGCAGGGGACGTGTGAGGGGAACACAGGGAGAGGGACCAAGTTGCCCTGATTGCTCATGGGCTGGCTGGGGGACAGGATTCCTCGATTATAGCAGGGTTTCTCAGTTTGTGGGGACACCTGCATCAGAACAGGGTGGCAGGTATTTGTAAAACACCCAGCTCTCCTGTAGATTCTTATACACACAAACATTCTAGCACCACTGCTTGAGAAAGCCGGGGAGACAGAGCCAGAGGGAAGGCTGAGGGCAGGAGGGAAGGGAGTGTGGGGAGGGAGCTGCTCCTCACCCTGTTCTCCCCACTCCCCAGTTCATAGGCACAGCCTCCCTCATCGTGTGTGTGCTGGCCATCGTTGACCCCTACAACAACCCCGTTCCCCGTGGCCTGGAGGCCTTCACCGTGGGCCTGGTGGTCCTGGTCATTGGCACTTCCATGGGCTTCAACTCTGGCTACGCCGTCAACCCCGCCCGGGACTTCGGCCCCCGCCTCTTCACTGCCATCGCTGGCTGGGGCTCCAAAGTCTTCACGTGAGTACAGCCCCCAGCCAGCTTAGCCCAGTCTGCCTCTGCTCTGCTCTGCCCTGCCGACCCCTGAACACATGCGTCTGTCCCCCAGGACCGGCCGGCACTGGTGGTGGGTGCCCATTGTCTCTCCACTCCTGGGCTCCATCGCGGGCGTCTTTGTGTACCAGCTCATGATCGGCTGCCACCTGGAGCAGCCACCACCCTCCACTGAGCAGGAGAATGTGAAGCTGGCCCACGTGAAGCACAAGGAGCAGGTCTGAGTATGCAGGGGGCCACCGCCCACCCCTGAGCATCACTGACTGTGCAGGGGCCACTCCCTAGAAGCCCCCTTCACAATCCCCCCTCAGGCTACAACACTCCCTATCTACCTGCATCCCCTGGACAGCCCCCTTCGGGATTTCCACCGGACCCTGCCCAGATAGGACCCTAGACCGCTGCTCTTAAGCTGTGGTGGAACAGGGGGTAGGGTCAATACATCCTTTCATCTCCCAAAGGGAGAAAATGGGCATCGGGTGTGTGTGTGTGTGTGTGTGTGTGTGTGCATGTGTGTGCACATGTGTGTGTGGTTTCCCAGATATTCAGGGAAGGAGAGAGGATTCTAGCTGTAGGGGGAGCCCAGAGATGGAGAAGATGGCGTGTCCCTCTGTGAACGAGAAGGTGCCAGAGTGCGCGTGTGTCAGGGGCTCCATATGGACGAGGTCCAGATGAATGTGTTTCTGATGGCGTGTGCGTGTGTGTGTGTGTGTGTGTGTGTGCATGTGCATGTTTGGGTGCGTGCATGTGTGTGTGTGTGTCTGCCTTTTTTTCTAAGCAGGGGCTTCTATAGGCTTTGGGGACGTGGGGAGGAAATGCGTAGGGCTGGGAGGAGGGGGCCGCAGCTCAGGTTTGGAGCTCTGGCTGGACATAAGTAGGAGCTGCGTAACATGTTTCTGTCATAATGTAGGCATAAGGGGGTGGGGTGAAGTCCAGGTCATAAGTTTCATGTTTGCTTTTGTTTTGTTTTTGTTTTTTAATATGTATAGCAGATGTCACAGTCCTAGGGATGGGGGTTAGAAGACCCCTCTTTAAAAAGGGTCTTCACTCCTTTAATCTTCCACTCGAAAATGTACTCTTTTTCCTTTTATAAAAAAACAATAAAATGTATGCCTGAAACTGCCAATTGTGCAAATATCTTTCTGCTTGTTCTGCTGTTTTTCTGGGGCCAGTTAAGGAGCTTCAGCGTGTCTGGCCACAATTACCGTCAGTGCCCAGCTGGGTGTCTAATGTGGTCTGGGTACCCTGGGGGTCATACTCTGGCCTTGCCAAGGGAGGCAGGGGTCAGTCACTGAGAGCCTCTTCACCAAGCCTCCCAGCTTGAACTCAGGAGTTCCAAACCTCAAACCTTTTCTCCAAAGTCCCAACTCACATCTTTGCTCATAAGTCCTCCTGATCTGCTTTAATGTCTTCTCCTCCAGGAAGTCGTCCCTGCCCTTCCCACCATCTTCTACAGTCAGTTGTTGAAGCCCTGAGACCACAGTTTCATTCATCCCTATCTTCCCCTCTGCTTCACTTCTTCAGTCTGAGGCACCTCTGTGCCCAGGAGGCAGGGGTTGGACTGATTGACTCTGGCACCCTGACTCATGCAGGGAAGGAAGGGGTTCTGCACACCTGAGCCCAGGAACTTCTGGTTTTCTCCTTGCTTACCAGATCCTCCTCAACTTTCACTGGGAATACAAGGGAAGGCATCCCCTACCCACTTCCTGTCTCAGAGTTAACCCCACGGGAGCCGAGGATCCCTGGGTCCAGATGGAGAACTGTGGTTCTTAGATGCTGAGCCAGCTCTTGCTCCCCAACCTTCACAGACGAGGAGACCACCGTCCAGAGAGGGTGGCTGGCAAACACAGGGTCACGTAGGCAGGACTCCGCCTGGGGAGGTGGGGGTGGGAAAAGGCAATTCCAACTCAGGTCTCTACCCCTTCCTGGTCCCCAGCTCCCAAGAGGTGTGTCTGGAATGTGGGAGGGACTTGAGGCAGGGGGAGTGTCCCTTTTCCAGGCCCTCAGGGAGGAAGGCTAAACCTGGGGAGGAGAATGTGGCTACAGAGTTCATTCTGGCCACACCGCTCCCACCTGTGGTGCCCCCACCCTGCTCCCTTCTGCAGCATGTCCCAAGTCCCGCCCTCCCTTTCTCTCCAATCCTGCTGTTGGCCCTGACCAGTCAGCGCAGGGGGTAGGGGGAGGCCTTCCAGTGCAGTGGGTAATGGGTAATTGGACCTGGATTCCAGGGCCAGCTGGGCCTCTGTCCAGCTGTATGATCTTGGGGTGGTCATGTTCTTTTCCTGGACCTCAGTTTCCTTATTTGTGGACTGGGGGATATTGAGAGGAGAAAATAATGGAACATAATTCATGACAAGGACTTAACGCAGTGACCAGTGGATGGTAAATACTCAATAAATGTTACCTCCTGAATTTTCCTACAGAACCAGAGATGGGGGTGGGGAGGTAGGGGCGGAAGAAGGATCCTGAGGGCTGTTTTTAAAGGTCATTGAGGCTGGGCTCACCTGTAATCCCAAAACTTTGGGAGGCGGGGCCAGGAGGATTGCTTGAGGCCAGGGGTTCACGATCAGCCTGGGCAACATAGTGAGATCCCATTTCTACAAAAAACAAACGAAAAAATTAACCACAGATGGTGTCATGTGCCTGTAGTCCCAGCTACTTAGGAGGCTGATACAGGAGGATCGCTTGAGCCCAAGAGCTTGAGGTTACAGTGAGCTATGATTGCAACACTGCACTCCAGCCTGGGCAGGGACCCAACAGAAAGTGTCAAAAAAAATGTCATTGAATTCAACTCCTCTTCCTCCTCAGATTCCTTCCACGGACTCTGAATTTCCTGAGGGGAGGGAGGAAGAGTAGGGGCAATGGCTATGGTGCCCTGACTGTAGAAGGCTCCCGGGAGGGACCAAGGGAAGACAAGAGGGGCCCACACACAGTTTTACAGGGCAGAGGAGCCTGTAGCTGCACAGCCACGAAAGAAAGGTAAGGCCTGGCCAGAACCAGGAGCAGTGGGTCAGAGAGGGACTGGTAGGGACACGAGCCACGCAGTAGCTGTGTGACCCCTCCAGGGGTAGGAGGGAAGCTCCTCACCCTCAGGTATGCCTTCCTTCAGTAGTTCTGGCTGCTAGAAAGTTCTAGAAAGAAAACTCTTCATCTCCCATTCCATGTAATCCATTTTCTAGGGTGGACACAGAAGGAGGATCGTCCCATGGGAGGGTAGCTACATCCCATGCCTCACCCTGTCCCTTCTTCTTGCACTAAGCCCCCTTCAGAGCCCACTATGGAGGAGCCCATGTTTCCTTAAAATTCTGACTTGCTTGGATTAAAATCAGCCTCCCTGAAACTTGAGCTTCGTTCCTGTTTCTCTGTATGCCTGCCTCAGTACGTGTGTATGTGTGCGCACACGCAAGTGTGCATTTCTCAGTGTTTCTGGGCGTGTCTTTCTTTTAATGTCTGGTTATACCTCTCCAGGTCCCAGCCTCCGGCAGACCATGTGCCTGTCACTGCCTGACTCTTTATGTCTGGGTCTTTCTTCATGTACCTCTAAGTGAACATCCTGTGTACTTCAGAGCCCATCTCTGTGTGTACTTTGGAGCACATCTCTCTCTGTACCCAGTGCACATCTCTGCTTGTGTCTACCAGTGAGCTCCTGCCAGCCCAATCCCGCTTGTTTCCCCCAGGGCATGCCTCCTCCTTAATTCCTGGTAATGAGCTCCCTCCTTCTCTTTCCTCTTGATTTTGTTTTTCTGAAAACCCGGGTGGGGCACCCCTAGGCTTGGGGAAACATGGGTGTGGTAGCGCTGGGTGGGGTGGGAAGGGGAGAAGAGAGACTTCTCCACCCAGTACAGAGACCCCCTAGGCCAGGGACAGCCCCGATCCCCCAGGAAGGGTCTCTGAAGGTGCTGGCCTAGGCAGGGCCCTGGACCGCCTCACTGGGAGGAGGAGGCCTGGCCTGGGTGGGGCCCCTGAACTGTGGGCCCAGGAAATGCAGGAAGTGCAAAGAGAGGAGACGCTGAGACGCTGGGGCCCTCAGGGAGACGGAAAGGGGCCTTGCCAAGCACAATGCCTCTGAGTCCTAAGGGGGCAGAGAAGTGGCTGTGTCTGCCCAGCAGCCGGGGGTGCGCTCTTCAGGGGCTCAGCATCTCCACGCCTGGGGCTTTGGCTGTTGGCACCAGGTTTATCTGAGGTAAGGGAGAGGGCGGCTGTGCCTGGTCTGGGCACTGGGTGGTGGAGGGTGCCAAAGGAGATCGCTTCTTCTTCATGTAAAGGAGAAACTGAGGCCCAAAGTGTCACCTGGGGTCACAGAGCAGGGCAGCAGAGCCCAGACCAGAACCCAGTCTTCTCAACCCCTTCCCCAGAGAGCACCGTGCGACATCTCAGGGAGCAGGGCTCTGGATCCAGATCACCTGGGTTCCAAACTAGCCCTTCCCTGCCCTGGGACCTTGGCCAGGCCGGAGTCTCCATTTCAGACCCAATCTCTGTGGGCTGCATCACCTGGGCCAGCCTGGCAGTCCAGCCTAGATCCCTCCCACTGCAGTGGGGTCAGGGGAGAGGGAGGCCAGAGTCCCTTTCCCACCCTGGGTCTTTCTCCAGAAAACTCCGGCTCCTGAGAAAGGGGGAGCTGGGCAGCCTGCCACCTGTGGGGCTCAGAGGTCTGGTAGGGGCTGAGAGTGGTGGCACATTACGACGGGTCTGGAGGGAAGTGTATACAAGGTCCCGCCCAGGAGGGACTCAATCCCAAGGAGGCTGAGGGAACAAGCAAAATTCCAATCAGTGTTTACTACTCTTGCTCCACACCCCCCTATCAGGAAGTCCTTCCTAAGGTCTTAATGATGTTAACCCTCCCTGTCTCCAGAGATCTCTGATGATAAAGCCTTAAACCAGATCCAATCGCCTTGGCTGCGGGGAAGCCTGAGGGGAAGCCATACTGGGACACCCCCTTTGCTCTCCAGTCTCTGCCTTTTTGGAAGCTCCCGTGAGGAGCAATGGGCCCCTGTCAGGCTTCCTCCCTGCGCTCAGATCTAAGGAGGCCTGGCTGGGAGAGGCTGGAGGAGGGGATCTGGGAACCCCGATAATCATCTGGACACGGTCCACCGCTCATCTCCCTGGAGACCCCCGCATAGCCCAGGAAGCACCTGGAATGCCTGGTTAACACCCTCATCCTTTGCCTCTCTGGTCAGGGTCACCGACAGGGCTGGGCTGAAAACCAGGGGAGGGAGGGAAGGAGGTGGCCTGGCCTGAAGGGGGAGGCCCCAGTCTGAGGGAACTCTCTCCTGATGGAGGTAACCCTTAGCTGGGGGATCCCCACTTCCATGCCAGGGGTGGGGAAGGGAGAGCGATCCCTGGCCTATGAACAAAGTCTTCCCTTTATCAGAATGAGGGTTTATAGCTTGAGTCACCTTTGGCCCTTGGAGGTGCATGTGTGCCCACATACACGAGGGTGTGTCTGCTGGGACTGAGGAAGGACTGGGGGTGTGCGCACGCTCACGCAAACACATTTCCACCCCCACTTGCTCACCTACACACGCACGCACA